TCTGGTCATATCTTGAACAGCAAGAACGGGCGAGTAGTAAAATGGATCTGGGTGGGGTACAGAAAAGCCATTCCAGAGCGTTAAAAATAACCTGTCACATCTTCCTATTGTCTAAACTGGCATAACTCCACCAGCTTCATTTTATACCAGCTTAAGATCTGGCCAAGTGCACTGAGTAAGAGGAAGGCAGCAGTTCCTCTTACATGCTTCACTTTGCCTGCGGGCAGGTTTCAGCAAGGCACACGTCTGTTCCAGGGGAAGATACTTAATGAAGGATTTAATCTTCCTGATGAATACAAAAGGATGCTAAAGTACCACACTCATCAAACACACCTTGCAACAAAACACATTGTTAAAAATTCGCTTTACTCAGCTACGTATTTGTAACGCCATGTAAAACAGACAGTTCGAAATTCCCCGACTTCAACCGCTGAAAGCCGAACGCTGCTGTCCAAATCTCTCGGCAAAGGTATAGTTTTACAGTAATTGAGGTAGTACGTAATCCGGTCACATCTCCGCATACATCAGTAATACAGTACCGAGAAGTCTCCCGGTTGTTCAGATGCAGAAGGAGCTGCGCGAAGCATTGATTCATGCTGATGAATTGTAACCAGGCAACACTGCCAGCATCCCTCCGGCCCATTGTTTGCCTGAGCTGGGGAGAACGGCAGCAGAACAGCACTGAAAACCTGCCAAACTCCGACTTCCCCAATTAAAGGATACCATCCCTCTAACGCTAGATACAGCAAATTCTTTAACGAAAATTTAACAGAAATAAGCTGTTATTTCCCTCTCGGTAAAAAGATAACAACATGCCTGAAGGCGGCAAATGAACTTCTCTGTGTCCGCGACTCTCTTGTAAATAATCTTTACAAAAGAAACAGTTCAAATTTACTTTACACAAAAAGTCCAGGGCGATGAATTATTCATCTGAGCAGAGGGACAGAAATACTGCCTTTTTGTTAGGCTGGCTATTAGATGCTGAGGGAAACTAAAGACAACTTTCTCAGATACAATAACTAATCAGTATCAACACAGATGAGATGGAAAGGAAGGAGATACTTGAAAAATTTGTTCAGTGAGAGTTGGCAACCATTTTCCACGTAAGTGTCTGAAACCAACAGTTAATGCACAAAATATAGCTACTACATCATCATCGACGTGAACCTTATTATCAACAGAGGCATTAAAAAATGACGTTACGATACTGAATTTTTTCCTTTTATTGCAGTTAAGTCTGAGTGGTGGGATTATTTGTTCTGTTTAATGCCACGGGCCTGGACATCAAGACCAAAATTCATTGTAAAATGATCCACCGTTGCTCTTTATGGGAATAAGACGACGACACAGTCTGCCAGCAAAACTGTTGGCTCCTAGAGAACCTGAGTTTTCAAGATGTGCCACAATCCCCTCATTTTACCAGAAAAAAAAAAAAAAGCACATGTATGAGTTAAGAATAAGATACAGAATCGACTTGCTCTTATAATGTAAAAGATGGGCTAGCAGCTGTGCGCATTTCTCAGAGTATAAAAAACCAAAGCACTGACCTGTAAAACAGAAATAGTAATAACATCTGCTAGACTTCTGGGCTCTGAAATCACATTCCCTGAGAGCAAGTTTCCAAAAGAAAGGCTGGGCACTTATGTAAGATACCATTTCCCTTTTCAATGAATTATGCTTCTCTTTGGAAACTTTACTTAAAAGCCTGAGTGCAAAACCACATACATCTCTCTTCTCTGGGAATAAAAGCAGTAGGGCAAAGTAAGAAACTGCTACGGCACTGGCATAAAAACAGATTTATCAATGCCTTTCAGAATTTGGGATATATTAGATCACCCTCTTTGCTTACTCCCTGCTCTTCTTTTTAGTCCGTTTCTACAAACCAGGTTCCTAGATGTGGTCTTCTCAGTCCCATTGTGGGGGATCAAGCAGTCCCGTATTCACTATTCCACGTGGAGTATCACCGGGATCTCAAACAGGCAGAAATGCTGCTGCTGCTTAGGCTCCCTCTGCTTGGCAGTTTAGGGTCTTTCTTATAAGTTCACAATGCTGCCAGAGGTTTTGACACTCCAGAGAACTTCTTACAGGGTCAAAGTCTGCTCTCCCATGGCATGAATTCCCAGCAACTTCCTCTTGGTTGTGAGCAGATATTTAAAGCAGAACTTGGTCTCATCTTCTTATTTCCCCTCATACGTTTGCCAGATGGCTTTATTTAATGTCTATTCCCTGGATTCGCTCTTAGATTGATTTTTTTCCTCTACATTTGCCATCTGCTGGTCCAAACAGCTAAATGATACGCTTGCTTTTCAGTCTCATGGCACTGGTTCATTCTTGCTGTCAACTTGGCATCCAAAATAATATGGCAGGCAGACCGGCAGGTCTGGGTAAGGCCTTGCTCCAACAAGAGGAATTTTCTCCCTTTTCTGCCTTTGAGAGCCATTACTGCAGGAGCAAAGTTGTAAGAGGGAATAAAGCACAAAGCCAGAGCATAAGACAAGTACCGAGAGGAACTGAACCATGCTGTCTCAATGATGGAAAGTGTTCTGTGTCATGGCTATCGCCTGGAAGCAGGATTTGCAGGCCCAGCAGCTGGCGTTGCGCGGCCTCATAGGAAGAGAAGATACCATGTTGCGCACCAGCTAATGGCAGAGAATTGCACGTGCACTTCCAAAAGAAACAAATGCTGTCTGGAAAAAAACTTGACTTAGATCCTCCGAATTGTTTTCCCAAGTCTTTGGCAACGGTCTTGCTCTTTTCAGTGACAATGTACGGGGGCTCTGAAATAACTGACGTGAATACGGGTACCATGCCCGTGCCCTGCAGGGTACCCAGCCTGGGCAGCACGCCGGGGAGGAGGAAAGGCCAGGACAGGGGCCTGCAAAACTGCAACAGCAGCTGGTTGGAAAGGGTGCGAGGAAGAGGATAGAGGCAGCACAGAGGGAAGAGGAAGGGAAAGGTGCCAAGAAGTCTTGCTATGACCCCACCTAAATGCCTAACAGCAAGGTATTACTGAGTTGCCTGAATGTGCACGTTTTACCCATCTTGTTACTTTAAACTCCGAATTTTTTAGAGATGATTCCATCTCTTGAGTGTTTGCACAGTTCCAGGCACAATAGCTCCTTGTGCTGGCTGAGTCCTTTGAATGCTACGAGAATACAATTAAATAATAAGAGCAGTAAAAAGCTTGGTGCTATTCATACTTGAGAAGATCTCATACGGCTCTGGACAAATCATAGCCACAGCAACACTCTCAACAAACACATTTTCTAATTCTCTCATTATTATTGTTGCTCTCTCTTAAAGGTATTTTAAAGAGAGAAAAAAACACATTCCTTTCATGAAAAAATATTAATTTCATTTCATATGTGAATGCCACAAAAGACCAACAGTTTATCCAAATAGTCTACGTGAACAAAAGCTTGAGAACCCCTAGTTCGATGCTTCTCCGTATGATTAAATTTGCATATACACTTGCCTTTTTCTGTTTCTCCTGTGGTTTTGGTGGCTCAGCTGACATCCAAATAGCCTGCCTGCTCTCAGGTTTGCATCACATGGTGAAGTAAGTGGGAACAATGTGAGGTCTGCAGCATCTAGACCTCTTAAAGTTTAGATAAATGCTGACACTACAGAGCTGGCCCTAGTTTTCCAGAGCTTCCAGCCTCAGCTATGAAAGTAATAAACCTATCCCAGCTGTTCAGTGCCCTTGGTCTCAGCAGCTCTGATCCAATACCCATTGAGGCCAAAAGAAAGGTTCCCTAATTACCCCGTGAGTGCCAAATCAAGCGCAATTAGACTTGAGTGCAACTGAAGAACAAGATGTATAAATTCTTTTGCAATGCAAATTCCTTCGCTACTGAACTGTACTGCACTGACCCGCCTGTTCCAGGTCTTCGCGTAATCTGATACTTCATATACCACCCAGCGTGCAAGGGAGTGGTGCTGAGAAACAGATTTCTCGAAATTCCCAAGCTGCTTTATGTACTTCATGTCAGCGGTTCATAAAGAAACAACAATCAGATTTCTGGTTGTCACCATCATGAATGGAAGGATAAAAATTCAGTGACAAGTTATGAAATGTTACATCTGCTCGAGAAGGTAGAACAGCCAGCCAAAAACAATGTGTCACAGAAATGTGTAAAACGGCACCAGATCTAGCCACATACAGCGTGAGCCAGGTCTGTATTTGAAAGCTGCGCTGGTACAGATGTTAGTAGGTGTACTGAATAAAGGACAGGAAGACTGTACCACCAGTCTGCATATCCATGGTAACCAGGAGAGGATCTCCTGGGGAAAGGAGCGGTGAGATGGGGAACAAAGGAGCTTTATTCTTTTCCCCTTTGCAATAGGGCTAAACGGCTTTCACATTATATAGTCAGATTATTTAGGCTGGGGGCGTGTTCACCCCCGGATAACAACAGCAATAAGGAAAAAGAACAATATGGGTTCATCAGCACCTTCAGTCCTCAGAGGGCTTGTCCAGGTTGCACTGTGGTCCACATCTCTGCATGTTCACAGCTGTTGTTCCACCTAGGCTGAAGCTGATGCAAACATACCCAGTCACATTACAGCCAACCCATTATAATATACACAATGCAGTGTAGTACCCAAGACATACACTGGTCAGTTGGGGCATACAAGCTAAAGAAACAATGGCCTGCTATGTAGCTACCAGTATACAGCACTTCGGAGTGAAGTACCAGGATAGCTCATTTCTCTTTGTGTATATGAGTATGTTCTGAATACATTTATGATGATGCAATTGCATCCACTCTAGGCAAGGTCTGACAATCTTTAGTGTCTTGACAACCTTTAGTGTCTTATAACTGCTCATAAAAGTTCTATTACTGTTGAAGGACAACATCTAATGAAAGCATGAGCTATTGCGTAAGCAATGAAATGACTGGGATCTCCATACAAGGCACAGTGATACCAGTCTCCTCCCATGCATGCCTACTGCATTACTCTAATGATCCAAAGGGCAACCCCGCTCCTCTGCGTACCCCAATCAACCCTCACAGAACCACCGACTCTCTCCATTTCTTTCCAGTTATCATCGGGGCAAGAGGCGGCGCTGCGGCCGACGCTGGGCTGAGCCCACGCGGACTGGCTGCTGGGTACCTGCGTGCCAAGCTGCCAGGCGGGAAGCCAAACAGAACAAAAGAAGTAGGCGCTGTCTGCCCTGTTGATGTACGTAACCCCTGAAGTAGCAGGATGAAAAATTATTACAAATACAGTTACTTAGTTACCTTTAATAATCTCCTTTTCTTACTCTCCTGCCACAAATTTCAGTTTATTCCGTTTGTAAGTCTGACAGCCTTCTGCACGTGGTCCGTTTCTCCAGCTCATTCCTGGTGTGGGTTCTCCCTGGGCTTCACTTAGAGGCAAGAAACAGTGACATCAAAAAGAAAAGGGGAGAGAAAGAAAACAGAGGCAATAAAGCCTTAACATACTCAAAAAGCCATCTGAACGTCAAAACAGGAGCAGAAAAGCCCTTCTTCTTTTTAAATATATCTTTTGTTTCCATGCTGTACTATCTACAAGGTATTTTTTTAATAGTCTGTTCTAAAATAAGTTGGGCATGGTCTTGTTACTAAATATTGTATGATTTGATAATCATACAGCAGAGTAAATGACTTTCCTAATCTGGAACAAATTCTTAAATTTACAGTGTCTTTAAGAAAATAGGGCTTAAGTACCTTTCATTTCTCCAGTGACATATAAACCCAGGAAAAAGTAATTTTCTCTCTATTTTAGTTGATTTTGAAAGTCTTGGAATTGACAGTTGTATGTAAACAATTTACATCCTCACTTTCAGAGCTACGTGAAATCAGCATTGATTTATGCAGTACACAATGTCTTTATTTCTTGATTAACTTCCCTTCAGGCTTTCACTGTAAGCCAGTGATATTTTATTAGAGATGAGGTAACAGCGATATTTGTATTAATTTCCTTCATTATATTCAGTTGCTTGTAACTTTGGCAGGTGGTGTAACTTCTAGGTCCTTCGAGTGGGAGGGCAAAAGGGTGACTTAGTTTGTGAGTGAAGTCCACGCCACACGCAAGGGGCAGGTTACGGCTGCACAATGAACCTTGGTTCTGACACACTCGAGTTTGCGCTTTGACTCAGCAAAGTAAATAACACTCTTTTCAAGCAGCCTGCACAAAACCGTCAGGGCGTTCTGGTTTAACACACGGCACGCTATCAGACATTACACATCCAACACAATTAATTAAAACATTTAAAACCTGAAGTGGTTTCTCCTGGTATTTGACAACCTGCATTTCCTAAGCAAAGTGGCTGAGAGTTTAATAAGAAACATCAGGAAGATTACTTAAAATTTGAAGTTCATTTTTATTAAGAACCTTCTCATGTAAGTAGACCGCTTGCATGTTCCTGTCACAGCAGCTCTCTCTCACCTACACTAGCAAACAGCTTTTGTTTCCTTACCCTAACCTATTAAAGCAGATATTGTCTCCAGATCACTACACAACGTACAGACCTGTTGCGGAATATAATACTGTAATGACACCACAGCAAACTCTTGGGCTGAGCTAATAAGAGCTCTCCGCTTTAGTCCAAATTTGATAACACAGTAAACAGAGTTAGGATGACGCTGAGTGTTATTGTAAATTCCAGGCTAATTCCATCCTGAAGAGTGGATGGGGAAAATAAAATGGTGCAATCATTTATAAATATTACAACGAAAACTGTATGTTGGTCAGTTTTATTTTGCCTTATGCTTCAGAAATAGAGGCTATTAAAATAACAACTAGTCAGAAAAGAAAAGCTAATAGGAAATGAGGCTTTATATTGTGGAGATACTGCTGACAAAAATTTAGTGCTGTAGGAGCAGATGTGGTTGGAAAAAGAATTTGCAAGTTCATTTTGTGGAGACGGAGGCAGGAAGCCCCTGTTGGAGGCTCCCACTACCCTCACGCACAGATCCAGAGTCCCCAGGAGTCCAACAGGAAGGTTCATACTGAGATGTACCTATTTGCACACACGGTCCTCTTCTGTAACACAAATTGTTGTTGTGACTGAGCTACAGCTTGTGGCTTTCATTCAGAATAATGAATGCAAAGCAAAGCAGCTGAGCTGGTTATTAAACCAGATAGTTGAAGCAACGTGAATAAAAATCACAGAATTAGACTTAAAGGTTACAGTCTAATTGCCAGTAAACCCATTTATTTGCTTTGACTAAGAAACTTGCTACATCAGGCTCACTGCAAGAGTTGCAGAGAAAATTTCTGCAAAGTGTCAAGAAAACTGATCAAAAATCTTTTGTGTACACATGACAATTTACAGCGCTCTCTGCTCAGAGTCATTTGGCATCAGATTCACAGGACGAGCTTTTACTAAAAAAACCTTTCACCATGAGAAAAGTTATGGAAACAACCTCTTTACAGCAGATAGCATTTCCTTAAAGCACTCCACCAGAGTCCAGATATAAACCCTCACGTGCTTGTGCTAACAGTGCTGAGTTACACAAGAGATGGTAACCAGCTGAAAGAGCATAATTTTGTCAAAACAGCAGGTCATTATCCTTCCATATACTGCAGACTCACTGCAAACGTCAGAGAGGATCCAGGCCGTTTACTTGGTTCAGGTATCTCTGAAATGGACCGATCTTCAGGCCCATGAAAACTTTGAACTTTGCCTGTTCAAGGGCTGAAGCCCACTTAGGGATCCTGGAATATCAGATATGGAGTATTAAATTATTACACATCCATGATTTCAACTTGCTTCTAGGAAAAAAATGTCTCTCTTTTTCTCCTATCATCTTCCACTGTTAAATTTCAGGCTAAAAAACAACAGGAAAATTAGTAATCCAAGTTATTGCTGTGATTGAGTTAAGCATTACTGAAGTAATGGCTATAATTCAGAGCAAGTGTAAAATGCAACAGAGCTTCTTTATCCAAGAAGATAACAAGAGCAACAGAACCATCATCTACAGACGCATGGCAAGTCCAAAGAAGCAACTGATGTTGTGGGCCAAAGGAGATGTCCCTTAAGATTGCTATCACGAGTGCAGACATTTGTATGGCAGAGATGTTTCTGTGGGAAAGAAAGAAAGAAAGGAAGGAGAAACTCTGTACGAAAAACAATACAGGAAAGGCAGCAGAAAGTCTGAGAGAGAGTGAGAACAGTTATTGGGAAAACTTCCCTGAAAAGGCCTAATGACAGAGCACCACCTCACTGGTAGCGGAACAAAGTAGGGAGTGATGCTCAGAAAAGCCTCTCTCCTCTTAGCTGAATTCTACTTCATCCATGGAAACAAGGTTTGGGTTGGTTTTTTTAATTATCAGGATTGGATCTGGCTTCATCACCAGATTAACATTAGCTAAAACTTATTAAAAAATGCCTGGTTTTGACCTGAGTTTTGACAGCCTGAAATCAAGTGAATCCAGGGTAACAACCCCAATTCCGACCTTGCAGCTGTTCCTTGTTCTGTCTTGCCCAAGTAGGGTTTTATTCATACACGCTACTCTGTGTTCTCAAACGCCTGCGCAGAAGTGGAAGCAGCAGCAGCAGATCCACTTTCAGTTGTGTTTTGTTGATTTCTTTCACAGCTGTGGCAAGAATTAATAACGGCAAACCCCTCGAAAGAAGCTAGTGAGCCTGTTCTACGGCCATGAGGCCACACAGCAGAAAGAAGAGCAGATTTCCTGAAGCCCCTTAGGCTTCTCAGCTGATTGCAGTATGTGCCACCGTTTCTCAAAACTAATCAGTTGTTTCAGAGAAACATGAAACTTATGAGGAGAACATGTCAATTCATTCACAGGGTATGCTCCTCTACAAATATGTTACACAGATTGGAACTGACATTTAAGATGACCCACACCCTATATAAAGACCTCACAAAAACTGCCTAGTTATTCACTTTTCCAGCTTGGCAAACAGCCTCCATACTCAGTGTCAAGCTAAAACATTTGTTAAAATAATTCTTGGCTTCCTTCCACTCCAAACAAATTCATCAGGCAGATATTTCAACTCATTTTTGACTCAAGCAAGCAGAAGTAGGGAAGTACAAAAGTAGAGGTATAAAAGCCTTCATTAGCGAGAATATGAATTTTTTTGTACACCTTTTTCTTCCACATAAGGGTAATGGAAGGTTTTGGCTATTTTTGAGGTCACTGTCTCCAATTAAGAGTAACACATGAGCTTTAAACAAATCAGACAACCGTGGAACAATTTTAATCCCTGAATGAATAAATCCCTTGGGGGACCTGGCTGCAGAGAAATCAATGGGCAATTCTATTAAGCTTTAACAGCAAATAAGGCACAATCTGGCTTCTACAATGAACCTCAAAGCCACAAATCCTGTCATAAGAATTTATCAGATTCGTGTGATCGGTCATCAGTGTACAAAGCCCGATTATACCCCGAATGTCTTCTGCTTACAGCAGCTGTTGGAACAGCATTGTGCTAGATCATCTTTGGGTTAAGGGCTATAATCTTATGGGAAAAAATAAGACATTAATAAATGTTAACTGGGTGAATACTGATTTGTTCCAGGGAACTCCTACCCTTATCAGCACCCTGCTGCCCGCTGACCTTACCTCTAGCTCAGAAGTGTTAAGAGAAGTGTCAGCTGTGACTGTCAGGAGCTCGGCATTTGCTCCCACAGCCTTTCACAGCAACATATAAATGACCTCTCCTGCCCTACAGACTGGAAACGCTCTCTCGAACTGTGGGATCAAACACAAATCATTCATACTGTGCTACAAAAATGCACCACAGGCTGGCATAGAAAATAGAATGGTGCTTTAAAAAAAATCATCAAAACAGAAGAGGCAATTTCCCCTCCTCCCCAGTATAACTAAACCCTCACCTACTGACATCTCTCAGGGTAAGGACAAAATCACTTTGCTTGGTAGGGCTGATACAGCCTAGCCCTTCTCTAGCAGCCTCTGTGGTATGCCTTGTAAAATACTTGTAAATTAAATGCTCTCAGGGCTGTTCTATGGCATTGGAACCAAGAGCTTGAAATCAGGCTGCTAAACTCATGCAGTCCTCAGAAGAGGGTGACTATATCCACCCTGCTTGTTGAAAACCATCACCAGCCTATCTAACCAGGACCGTGTCCAGGGCTGTTCTAACAACCCGAGAGGATAGGTGCTCAGTGACAGCCTGACTGAGGAAGGTTCCCTGTGCTGTTCAGTAGTACAGATGCATCTTCCTTGTCCAGCTACCCGAAACTGTTCGGATCTGGGGCATGTCCAAGGTGCATGACAGCTGCCTCTCGGCTTGCAGAACCAAATTGCCTTTCCTTGAAACCAAGGCCCGTGAACGAGAAAAGCGGGTGAAAATAACACACAGACAGCTACTACCCAGACAGAGCTATGATACACACATGGCACGCCTGGTGCTCAGACATTCAGAAGTACTCACTCCAAGCATCCACTGGTTAGATATATAGTTCTAGAGAGTCAAGTTTTCAGAGCCATTAAATGCTTAAAGATAGAGATGGGAGCCATCACCTCTTGCAATGAATAGGAATCATTAGCTGATAAGATGTACAGTGGCATTTTCAGGTTAGGTGCCTCTATCCTATTGCAGTTGACTGGAATTATATCCCTGAAGATGTTAAAAGCCTCCGTGTTAAGAGAGATGCTTCTGTTATCCCTTGGCACCCAAGTACAACGTCTCTAATCCATTTTCCCGGCTTATGAAAGAAAGAAATACGGAAGTAATACTAGAAGCAAGTATCTTCCTCCTTTTCCTGGGTAAATAAAAAATATCACCTGCACATTTCAGCTTTGGGATCTTGATTCAAGTCTATCTCTGAGCAAACAAATGGCAGTCCCGTGGAAGCTGCTGAGGTAAATTTCAACATTGCCTGGCAGCATGAGACACAAGACAGGCAGAAATAGTTAAGTAGCTTAATTCACACTGGTTTTGCATTCTGTCAAAGGGGTTTTTGTGGAAGTAATTAAAAAAGGGAACCTGAAGTCATTAGAAAGAACAAATGATTTTCACAGTGACACTTTACTTTTTTCCCCGCCATCCTTTCACTGATGCATGTTACCCAGAACTCTGGAATCTGCGCAATCAACTTAAAACACCAATATACACTTATCACCTCACTTTAAAAAAGGAAACTAGTAAAGAATCACAGCACTCAGTCTATTCAGCAGCAATTACATAAGCTGGCTTTACAGTCTGCAGCATACTTTCTTCCTACTTTCATCTCACAGAAAGATGTGCTGGTCCTGCACATGGGTCGGGGCAATCCCAAGCACAAATACAGGCTGGGCAGAGAATGGATTGAGAGCAGGCCTGAGGAGAAGAACTTGGAGGTATTGGTTGATGAGAAGCTCAACATGACCCAGCAATGCGTGCTTGCAGCCCAGAAAGCCAACTGTATCCTGGGCTGCATCAAAAGCATGGCCAGCAGGTCAAGGGAGGTGATTGTCCCCCTCTAGTCCGCTCTCGTGAGACCCCCCCGGAGTGCTGTGTTCAGCTCTGAGGCCCCCAACATAAGAAGGACATGGAGCTGTTGCAGCGAGTCCAGAGGAGGGCCACAAAGATGATCAGAGGGCTGGAGCACCTCTCCTATGAGGACAGGCTGAGAGAGCTGGGGTTGTTCAGCCTGGAGAAGAGAAGGCTCCGGGGAGACCTTACAGCAGCCTTCCAGTACCTGAAGGGGGCCTACAAGAAAGTTGGAGAGGGACTTTTTACAAGGGCACATAGTGATAGGACAAGGGGTAATGGCTTTAAACTGGAAAAGGGTAGATTTAGATTAGATATAAGGAAGAAATTCTTCACCATGAGGGTCGTGAGGCACTGGAACAGGTTGCCCAGAGAAGCTGTGGATGCCCCCTCCCTGGTAGTGTTCAAGGCCAGGCTGGATGGGGCTTTGAGCAACCTGGTCTAGTGGAAGGTGTCCCTGCCCACGGCAGGGGGTTGGAACCAGATGATCTTTAGGGTCCCTTCCAACCCAAACCATTCCATGATTCTATGTTGTCCTGGTTTCGGTTGGGTTACAGTTAATTTTCTTCCTAGTAGCTGGTATAGTGCTGCAGTTTTGAATTAGTATGAGAATAACGTTGATAACACACTTTTTACTTTTTCTTCTCAGAAAGCCAGCCTATGGGGGAGACGCCTTCCTCCATCTTCCCCTTCTTCTACTAGTCAAGGACTTTTCAGCTTTCCCTGCTCTGCCAGATGCACAAGAAGCTGGGAGGGGGCACAGGCAGGACAGCTGGCCAAAGGGACACTCCATACCGTATGGCGTCATGCTCAGTATATAAACTGGGGAGAGTTGGCCGGGGGGCAGCGGTCGCTGCTCAGGGATGGGCTAGGCATTGGTCACCATGTGGTGAGCAACTGCATCACTTGTTTTGTATATTCTTTTTTTTTCTTTTTTCTCTCTTCCTCTGCTGTCCTATTAAACTGCCTTTATCTCAGCCCATGGGTTTTACTTTTTATTCTGATTCTCTCCCCCATCCCACCAGCAGGGGGGAAGGTGAGCAAGCAGCTGTGTGATGCTTAGTTACCAACTGGGGTTAAACCACATCAGATGTGAAAAAGAGCAAGGCCATAAGATAAAAAAAAAAAATAATCATACATATTGTCTACCATAGCTCCCATTATTTTGAATCAAATCACCTTTGAGATAAGTACATATTCGAAGTGAACATTTGAGAGCAGTAAACTGGACAGTATCTTCTTATAAAGCAGGCTG